GAGACAGTCGAGAGGAATACAGAAAGGGGAACGGAAGGAGAGAAAGACAAGAGGAAAAAGACAGAATAGATGAGTAACATACAAGGAGAAGGGAAAATCTACTCACACTGGAATCAAATGATGATTTAGGCAGTCACTTGGTCAAGAGTGACAGTGATTATTTTAAGATCTTTTAAAGTTATCATTTCATTAAATTGTTATTATTTGAATTTTATCTTCGTATTTCCTTATAATTTATCTGTCGGCATTGCTGACTGGGGGGGGGCTCGTTGCCATATATATATATACATATATAATATATTGTCCAGAAGTAGCATTCTGAAAGTGGACCAGGGGAACTTCCTCATAATTCTTTAAAGTCTATAGGAAGAACCCCACCCCTAGACCGAACCCCACAGCAAAGGTACGTTGATTATATATAACATGATGCACAGAACGAAAGAATCACTAGAAACGCGTATTTTATTATTTACTTTTTTGAAAAAGTAGTAGATTCTTTTTCATGGAATTTTTTTATATCTCGCCATTAATTTGTCAGAGTGGTTTTACTGTTGCAGTTTGCTTCTTTAAGTTTTGATGCAACTTTTTTAATCGTTTATTTTCTTTATATGTATTACATTGTGTTTCTGTAGATATCTGGCCTGAACGCAATATTACCAACTCTATAGCCGTCTGGATAGAAAGAAGGAAATATTTCCTCATGGATTAAAACTACAGCAGTGAGTCACTGAATGTACCCCATTATAAATAAAACTACAGCAGTGAGTCACTGAATGTACCCCATTATAAATGACGCTATCAGTCATTTTAAATGAAACGGGTACGTAACAGTTGTAAAAAGAAACTACATTGGAAACCGAACTTTATTAGTCACTGGACAAATTAAATTAACATCAAATGGTAACAAAACAGTTTTAAAAACTTTAATGCTTAAAAAAAAACTTATTTGTTTATATCCTTGCGAAGACACAGCCCTCACACAATTTAATTCGCGAATTTATATGGAAGTCAACGTAGACAGGGAAGATATGTTTTAGAACAACTACAACGGGTGATTAGCAAGTTACATTGTTAAAGGATAAGGAAATTATGTTTTTTCGCGTTATGGTTTTCAGATTGGAAATTTATTAGAACAAAATATAACTCTAACGGGAGATGATTTTATTCAAACAAACGTGTGAGGAATTCACTAATAAGATTAAACAATGTGTCCATTATATATAAGAAATATACAGAACGTAATGTTAGATATATTAGTAATATGCAAGCACACTATGAAAGTCCTCTTGCATTTTATTGCGTTAAAGCAAAGAACGGTATAAATACTAATTTTCTTGCCGATAAAGGTGCCAGTCAGACTAAAAAATTGTTATGCAGACTGCAAGAATGCAATGCATTTCATCCCGGTGCCAATCAATTACCAAAGGAATTATCAAGCATTCTTCACGGTAATAAACCCTAGAAAGATTTGCATCCTTTTGCTTTTAAACTCGAATGTTTCACCAACTCCTATAAAAACGTGTCCGGAAACTTTCCGTTTTAGTATGGATTACTGGACAAATATGTAATTATACTGATTTAAGTCAAAACAAAGTCAAAACAAAGTCAAAGCAACAACATAAACTTTACAATTACATAGGTTTAACAATGCATTTTTTTCCATAAAACACACGCTTCTGACACTTATTAAATGTATTTGTTTAGATAGATCACTTAAATAATAATGCATTTGTCATGGAAATGAGGTGTGATTAGTAGATTGTAAAATTATATTTTTCACAGGATTCGAGATGTACTGAGAACAGTTGTTAGTGACAGCGCTGAAATTGTTTTATTTGGAGATGCAGATGAAGAGGAATCAGTTGAAAGACCTATTTATTTATTTTATTATTATATTTATCAGGTAGGCATGTATACATCTCAGATGAAAATTAAAATGCCTGACTGTTATTGTCACGTGCCATTTAAAATGGCATTTTTCTTCGATTTACAAGTCATAATACAGTCAAAAATGTGTTAAAAATGCCGTTAAAACCAACAAAAGTAAAATCATCTTCCTTTCCGAACCCCAAAATAATACAAAATTCAATGATTTCCAGATGCATATCTTTTTCAACTTTTTAGGGGAAAAAACTGTTTAAATAGATTTTATGCAGTATACTCTGTTGAGTTTCTTTATGTTTTTTTTTAAATGTTTTTGTAGATCTATATTTTCTATAATCATATTTGTTTTCATAAATATTTTCCCTATCGCCATCGAATAATTGTGTGTGTGTGTGTGTGTGTTTGAATTAAATACAAAAATACTAAGCTAACCAAAAATGAGCAATATTTATTTATTTATTTACATTTTGTATAACAGTTACGCTTACAACTGTATTTATTTATTGCTACCAGAAATCCTTGACCCCGGTTACAATGCAAGAGGCCAGCTGGAGAAGAAAAACGGACCCAAACGCCTACAGATGAATGGAGATACAAAGGGACGAACAATTATATGATCAAATGTACATCTATTTACGTCTTGACTCTCTGCCAGCATGACTCAAATCTTCATTGCTTTTTGCACCTGAAAAATAGTCTTAACATTTGTTTTAAAGGCTGCAATAATTGTTCAGTATTCAGAATTGGAGAGGAGTCGACTGTACACAATGTGAGGTACGCCCACCCTTCCATAAATGTGATTGGCTACTTGAAAGCCATGATTAAAATTTGCATACAACTGTTTTGTACTGCAAACTGTAGTATTAATCAGTGTACTGTAAACAGTAATATTAACCAGTGTACAAATTCTAATTCATATTATTATAAATTTACGGCGTGTTATCTCTGTTTAAGCTAATACGCTAATCAGATAATGCTTAAAAAATCAAAATAAAATTAATAAACACACAGCATGACAAGAATAATTTTGGATGTTCCAACAAATAACTAAAGCATTTTAGTAAATTTATAGCATTTTCAATTAATTGCTATATAAATTACAAAATGCAATAAAATACAGAAATGAATAATAAAAAGGCTTTGACTTTCGGAACGGGCAGAACAACCAAGATTTAGCAGGGCACACCATTCAGCTTAGTTTTGCTTGATACTGCTAATGACCAGATCAGGCGGAGATACTATATTATCTGTCACCCAGATGCCTCTCCTCAAACAGATATGCAATATTCGCGACAAGTACAAGATTCCAACGCTATTTTCGTTCTCATTTCTTCTTTCTCTTTTATCTGTTTATGATTTTCCATGATGTCGTCGACACATCAATATTCTCTTTGGGTAATATTATTCGTCACACATCAGGAATTAAAACCAAAATTAGTCTTTCTTTCTTTCTTTCTTTCTTTCTTTCTTTCTTTCTTTCCTTCTTTCTTTCTTTGTTGACATTTTGATATGAACTAAATCAATTACAGACCCCAAAAAAGTCATATTAGCATCGCTACTTCACCTTCCAAATGTGTGTGTGTGTATATATATATATATATATATATATATATATATATATATATATATATATATATATATATATATATATATATATATATATATATATATATATATATGTGTGTGTGTGTGTGTGTGTGTGTGTGTGTGTGTGTGTGTGTGTGTGTGTCTAGCGTTGGTTAGCGTTGTTGTCGTTAAGTCTGGTAATTACTAGGATATTATGGCGGATGGTTATGTACGCAATATTCAGTTAGGATGTAGATAGCTTAATATACATTTGGTTATTACGTTTTTTACATTACAGATATTATACTTTATTACAGACAAAACTCGGATTTCAAACATGTATTAGAAACTAAATAATTATTAAATTTGTAAAATATTAAACAATTTCCTCACAGTACAAAGGCGGCAAATGTTAGAGGGCGGCAAAATTCCGGTGGTATTGCCCCGCACGCAACAACCTACCTGCCTGCCCCGCACGCAACAAATCCCCCTATAAAAAAATAATTAATGAAATTGAGTGTATGCATGTATGTATGCATGTATGTATGTATGTATGTATGTATGTATGTATGTATGTATGTATGTATGTATGTATGTATGTATGTATGTATGTATGTATGTATGTATGTATGTATGTATGTATGTATGTATGTATGTATGTATGTATGTATGTATGTATGTATGTATGTATGTATGTAGAGAGAGAGAGGGAGAGGGACAGACAGAAGGGCAGACATGCATGCATGCCTACCTACCTACCTGCCTACCTACCTGCCTGCCTGCCTGCCTACCTACCTACCTACCTACCTACCTACCTACCTACCTACCTACCTACATACCTACATACCTACATACATACATACATACATACATACATACATACATACATACATACATACATACATACATACATACATACATACATACATACATACATACATACATACATACATACATACATACATACAAATTTATAATATATTTTATCATAACCACCTTCACTAATTCATGTTATCTTGATTAGAAAGTTGCAACATATGCAACGTTTGTAGATTGTGACCAATATGTTTTTACTTCTTACGTAATACTCTTACGATGCAATCCATTGCTTCCTGATTGATCCTTAAGTAAATATGTTCTTCAGTTAAAAGAAAAAAGAAAATCAACTAGGGACATATGCTTAAAACGTTGCCATTCGAGCTTCTTTTTAATATTGGAATCTTACCTCATTGCTCCAGAGACTCGTGTCACTCCACCCAGTATGTACAAACAGAAGCAACTAATATAGCCTGCTTACAAATTTACAGCGTGGGGTGGTAGATACATGCATGCATACACGCACACACATACATACATACATACATACATACATACATACATACATACATACATACATACATACATACATACATACATACATACATACATACATACATACATACATACATACAGAAAGACAGACAGACAGACAGACAGACAGACAGACAGACAGAGAATATGAAATATAAATTGGCCATCTATTTAACTAATATTTCATTTCATTCTCTTATGACCGCACCGGTGGCCTAGTGGTTAAAGCGTCCGCCTCGGATGTGGGAGGTTGATGGATCAAACCCCGGTCGAGTCATACAAGACAAAATGGTACTAACAGTTGACTCTCTAGGCGCTCAGCATTAAGAGGTTAGTGTTAGGACTGGTCGGTTTGGTGTCAGGATAGTGTGACTGGGTGGGACATCATGCTACATGTCTGCAGCATGATGCCCCAGTGCTAGACATCACTATAAACTGCCACACTGAAGACATTATAGCAATATTACTGAACAAAGTGTTAAAGCTAGGTTAAAAATTCATACCACACATCTACACACATGCATTTTATGTGTATTACATGCATTTTCAAATGTCTTAAATTTTTCTGATGCAATTTTCAAACAATGTACAGTATTTTTAATTTTTTTTACACAAAGCAGTTCATTTTCTTAAGATCGTGTTTTCCAGAAATCAACATAAGTCTTATGATAAAAATGCTAATATTACTCGGTATATTTATAATAACATATTACAATTACGGGAGTCCTTTTGATAGTCTGTTGGAATACTGAGTTTTTTTAACACATTTTCCTAACATACTCTTTTTCATCATTAACAGTACCAAGTAAGACCTATACACGTACATTTAAATTATTAACGGTACTGAGTAAGATTTATACAAATACATTTAAATCATTACCAGCACTGAGTAAGGCCTCTAAATGCATTTAGAATTATTTCCAGTACGAAGTAAGGCATATACAAGTTCTTTAAAATCATTTCAAGTACTAAGGCCTATACAAGTACATTTAAATCATTGCCAGTACTAAGTAAGGACCTATATATGCATTTTTAAAATGTGACCAGCACTAAAGCATATACAAGTCCATTTAAATCATTACTAGTACTGAGTAAGGCGTATACAAGTATATTTAAATCATTACCAATATGGAGTAAGGCCTATACAAGTATATTTAAATCATTTCCAGTATGGAGTAAGGCCTATACAAGTATATTTAAATAATTACCAGTATGGAGTAAGACCTATAAGGCCCTTTTAAATCTTTACCAGTACTGAGTAAGGCCTATACAAGTACATTGAGTCATTACCAGTACGCAGTAAGACATAAACAGGTCCTTTCGATACGAAATGGTAGTTGTTTATTATGTCTTTAATGTATTTCAATTTCTCCCTCTTCTCCTATCCCCTCCCTCCCCTTTCATCCCCCGTTTTCACAACTGTCTTTATTGTGGTCCAACTATCCTTAAATACGACGAGTTAAATACACAGATCTAACATGAAGACGAGAAACAAAACAGTGTTAATACCAGACGATAGAAGGTGGTTAGGGTGTCGCACCACTGATTATTATTTTTACACATATTTCATTAATGACAATTTACGTTTGAGGGACGCTTAAGCGAAACATTTATACAGTGAATGACTGAATGACGTATTAATGAAGAAGGAACATTTATACGGTGAATGACGTATTAATGAAGAAGGAACATTTATACGGTGAATGACGTGTTGATGAAGCAGAAAAAAACCCCAGGAAAACATCCTTTATTGATATGTGATATATATTAGGACTGAGAAGATAACTTAGTTTACTATAGGCCGACATTACACAATCCACAAGTTTTCAGTCATTGCCTATGTTTTTCCATATAGTAATAACTAAGGCAAAAATGTAATGTATTTACAAGTACATGTATTATATTTTTTGCAGTTGCAAAATTTGCCGTGTTTTTATAGGCATCAATAATTCAATTCATGCTGAAGTCAGTTTATGAGGATTCTTCTTTGATCATCACGGCTGGAAAAGACAATGAACAGAATGAAGAAATGAAAAAAAAATGTATGCAGGGTTTTTCATTCCTGCTCTTTAACAGGAGGAGGAGAATGATATGAAGTAAAGAAAAAAAATATTTGATCTAAGGCGTATTAGCAACTAGACTTGGTGAAAAAGACAATCATTGCAATAGTATCTTACCACATGCAGACTACCTTCATGTACATAAAATTATCATTAATGCCTCTTTGAAGCATTAACTGTCACCAGAAAATGGAGTAGTAATACACTGTTGTATATGTTTGTTTTTCTTTTTCTTTCCGAGATTCAGTAAAACTTCTGGAGTAAAGGTGCAAAGACACTATTTTATGTAATGACAGTGTAAACAAATACCTTCTTTTCAGAATGCCAGACACCTAAACCTTTGCAATGAATGTTTTTCTCCTAAGTCGAGACTGAAACAAAAACCAACAGAAGACACTACGTTTCCTTGTGATTGTCAATGTAATTTTAATAAATTGTTGCAGTCTGCTTTAATTTAATATTTGCCTAATCAATAAAAACCTGTCTTCATGCTAAATATGCGGAGAAATGTATACCTTTCCGATGAGAAAGTCTCTCAAAGATCTCATCAAGCAGCTGGTATTTTTACTTTTTGTTATATTTTGGGGTGAAGTAGGATGGGGTCCTCTCTTTTCTAACGTTCTCTTCCAAGTTCGAATTCAATGTAATTATTGTTTTTAATTAATGATATACGAAAATAGTAACGGGCAGAAGAGTTTTTTCTCACCCTTGCGAAAGAGAACTCTAGCTGTCTTACTAATCTTAAACTTTTCTTAATTCGTCTGCTTGTTTCAAACCGCTCGCCTCAGCCATGGTGTCTACTCGCCAGGAACAAAATTTTCAAAAAAGAAACCCATTTCGTCTTCTGCGATGCCTGACGAGTTGTTATAAAAATCAAACAACTTCAACACCAACAGATACATAATAGAAAGAAATTCACTCATAAAACAACTTAAGGCCTCTCCAACTTTTATAGCACACCAAACAAAACATTTTAAGAGAGACAGACACGCACAAGAAGTTGAACTATATGGTGTGCTAGAAATTATACAGAGCATGGCGAATTTTATCATATCTGTAACGTAGTAAATGTTCAGATCGGCGTCATTAAATGTAACTATACCTATCTAATTACTTTTAATATTTGTGTGAAACGAATTAGATAGTTTTAAATAGATTTAATGACGCTGATCTGAAAATTTACTGAACTACAGATAGGATAAAATTCGCGATGCTGTATAAAACGAACTACAGCATAAAACACTATTCCAGATATACAGGCAATACAAATCACCGGCAAAAAAAAATCCAAACTCTCGAAAGAACCAGATATGTGTTTGTCAAACATGCGTTATTCAAACTTTGTTAAACACCCCAACCAGCCCCAATTGAATAAAACATAATAAACAAATGAAAATTCATTCACTTACCAGTCAGAGTGGTTTATTTGTCAGTCAACACGCTATTCCACAAGATTTCCATGTAGCGTATCATTGTACCAGTGATAGCAACAATTGCCATATCCAGGATAGAAAATATAAATTTACAAGAATATCATAATGTTGAAATGTCTCTGCATCTTTATAGCTGTGTACTTTATCGTACCGTTGTCGACCATAGAACTGTTTCCAAATTAGAACCGTTGATAAGGTTAAAAATATCGGTATAAAACATACTTATTTATTGTTACTTTCATATGAATTCTTTGATTAAATGTGATAATAAAGTAACAATATCAAATGATTTTGTTTCGATTTTCTCATGTGTAGAACTTGTGTACTTAAAAGCGACTTTGCACCCCATTACCATCATAAACATATTCGAATTATAGCGCGTTTACAAAACTATAAACGCTTGTCTCGAAACGGTCGCGATGTAATACTTGCAACACGTAACATGTATAACTTGTTTTCTTGAATTTTTGTTTCTTTTCTACGAGCATGTATAGCCAGTTAGATAATTTTTCAGATTTTTATAAAAGAGTGCAAAACGTGATGACCTTTATATAGAATGAGAGACAAAAACAGTACCCTACGAATACCACGTTTTGACTGTGCTATCTTGCAAAAGTGCATAGTTATTTAATTTAAATGAAGAAGAAAAACTGTGTGAGAAAAATAATCTATATTATTTTATTACCAAGACAAGGGAAATCACAGTCGCGGGGTTACATTTTGGATAATTATTGCAATTTTTTTTAAAATGGATGGATTACAAACACATCGCCGACTTAGGACCAGTTACTGCTTCTGCCGGGATTGATGGTGTTTCTCTTACCTATGCTAGCTACTGTTGCTGTTTCTAAATCTGCTGTTGTCGTTGTTACTCTCGCTGTTCCCGCTGATACATTCATTGCTTCGATCGCTCCTGTTTACACAGCCACTGCTACTGTTACCGCTACTGCCTCTGTTGTTTCATCTTCGCTAGCCAAGGTTCCGATATGTTAACCCTGTCTAAAGCTGGGCAGATCGTTCGGTGTTCAAAGTATTTGAATTTCATTAGACATCGCATCCAATCAAAATCAAGTTGTTCAAATTTGAACACTATTCCTACAAGATTGAGACAAGTGAAGCCCACAACTGGAATGGACTAGTAAATAAGCAATTTCCCACTTCCAGCTCGCGTTTGTGAAAGATATCCTTTCCCTCAAATACACATGTAATCGCTTCTCTCTGGTATATAGTAATACGTTCGATGTTAAACTTAACAAGTTTAGTTTTGAAGTCAATTACCTCCACCATATTGGTTAGTTGGCATTACATAATAAGTGGTACAAATTATGAAATCCAATGAATGTCAGTAGGGCAAGGATCTTTAATATCTGTACGATCAGCCAGGTATAAATAGGGTCAACATATCGGAACTTTTTTTGGTGCATGAATCAGTAATTAAAATATTCAGATTTCAATAGATTTGGACTGTTTCTCCCATTTTGTAATATTTAGCTTTGTGTCATGGTTTTTCTCTTTTGGAGGCACACTCAACAGTCGTTGTTTGTAAATTTCAATTTTATTTTGTACGTAATCTCCTAACCATGACTAATAGAAAAATTATGAGTACATTGATTCAATTACTCGCTCTTCGAGTATATATTTTATGGGCAATTGAAAATTCGTTGTACATTTTTTTAAAACATATATCTAACAATAAAGTCACATAACAAATTTTGGACGGAAAAGCAAAGTTAACAGATTGATTATGATAATTTGGCATATTTGTATTTTAATATGTTTTCTCT